CGATAATCTACTGTATGTCATTTAATATAAGATGATATGCGGTTTGTATTTGACAACAAAAGGCATTATTTCAAAGTGCAAAAGCAGTTGGCATACCTAGGTAAATCAAAGTCGGTCTTCTGGATACCCGTTGCCAAGTCTTTATTTCACTGCATGCCAGGTATGCTGCTGTTGTTGCTGCTTGCTGTTGTGCTGTTCAGTTACATTATTTCTCCAGATGGCCTTACAAACGTTGATGTTTTTAAATATGAAACTTGTCATAAATAAATGACTGGCATATGTGTTATGATACTAATGATCTTTTGCAAGTGTATATTGAACTTACATTTGCGTGTTGTCTGACACCATGGCTTATTTCATTACCTTCAGCTCGTCAGTGATGAGCAAGTAACTGTCACAAAGTGGGTCTCAAGTTGGCTGGGAGGAGGGAGCAGCCACAACCATCCAGCAGCCTCGCACAAATCCCACAACTTGGAAATGAACAGCGTATGTTAAACTTGAAATAACACATTTGTGAAGCACTTAACTTCAATGTAATGGCATAAGTAGTTTTTTCCCTTCGTGGTACATTTCACATATATTTTACAAACGTTACCATCTCGATCTTGTTTTACCATTGTGACCTCGTCTGTAAGTGATCGAGAGCCCCTGTTTAGTCTTTTTCAGAGATGTTTCTAAAGTTTCTGGAGACGGAGTCCTTGCCTTCTCCTCCTCCACCAAAGATGCCACTGGCAGGGCTTCAGACGTATGAAAACGACAAAGCTTCACGTATTCCAGGTGCGCAGAGAACACTGCATACACTATGGGAAGAATCTGCTATTTGTATGTACAGGTAGTCTCCAACCTATGATGGAGATGCGTTACGACGACCCCATCGTAAGTCGAAAAATCGTAAGTCGAAAATGGCCTAGCCTACCCAGGAGTCTTAAAGAATGGTGATAATTTAGCAAAACAGAGCAATTTACAGTACCGTACTGTATAAACTATGTGTACAGTACATCTCGGCAGCGTCTCATCGTACAGTATCGTACTTCGTACGCTGCTGCGTTTGCCACGCGAAATGTAAAATATTTTATAATTTTGTCATATCGCCATCGTTAGATCGAAATATCGCAAGTCGGACCATCGTAAGTCGGGGACTACCTGTATGTTGAACTTTTTTGCACCGTACGTAGCCAGCCGTCCGATTTGCAGCACGCAGAAAATCTTCTGCAGCAGGAAATGCATGGATCACGAACTGCAGTACTGTAAAATATCCTGCCAAAATAAAAATGCAGGTCCTGCCTTGGTGTGAGGTTCCCAATGACGTACAGTCCTCATCTGCAGAAATGTGAAGGTGTTCCAGCCCTCACCAATGATGAGCCCAGGGGCAGCCCAATGCTATCATAAACCTTATCCAGTCTAGTTTAAATATTCAGCGAACATGGCATGCATATTTGGTACTTGAACAGTGTCATGGGAGAGCTTTGTGATGGCAATCCACCAAAATAGACCTATTTTTTCAGGAACCCCTCAAATACAAACTTGTGGAACTTTAGCACACCCTTGATGCATGCGTCCTTGTCCTACATTACCGTCTTTTTGCCTCAACTGTCTTGCCACGTTCCTCTCCTCTGTCATTGCGACTGCGACTGTTAGTCACTGACAATGCAGTGACTCACAATATCCCCGAGACATTGCGCAGTACCATCATGTTCACGTCGTATGTGGATTTTATACTAGTTTTAAAGTAACCTACCAATGTCCTCTTATTTTACTATGAAACGGTATGACAGTTTTGTCACAGTGAATCTATTTTCAAATAAAAGCTAACATGTTGATTGAATTTCGATGTAAAGCTTTCGTGACTGCAGGGATTCATATTCTTGGTTCTTTCGGTAAAGTCACGTAGAAGGGAAATAATTAAATGCTAAAAATTTAACAATAAAATTCTCACGAAGTTTCGATTGCAACACAAGCAATCATCTTAGCAATTCACACCTGATGATGATTGCTTGTGTTGCAATCGAAACGTCGTGAGAATTGTATTATGTTTTATTATTTTATTATTTCCCTTCTTACGTGACTTTACCGAAAGAAGCAAGAATATGTTGACTGAATTTAAACATTCCACCAGTCCACCATATGTGAGTGCATTGTTTCCTCAATATCGCAACGAGGGATATGTTTGTTCTCCTGCTTAATTCAGATACTTATTCTGTCTTTTAGGTCCAGGTCTGGCACGGAGACCAGAAATTATGAACCCAATCATGGTCGCCCGTTCCTCGGCCGTGCCACTTGCTGGGGCATCTCAAGCTGGGCTGCATCCATTGTCCAGCCACCTGCTCATGAAGCCCATCTCTGATACATTGCCAACTTTCACACCACTGCCAGTTTCTACTGATGCCAGTTCAGAAGTTCTCTTCAAGGATTTACTTAAATGATTTTTTGTAAAACATATTTGCTTTATATTTCAAGTAGATTGTTGTATTTCAGTAAGCCTTTCAAAGGATAAAGAAAAAGCACTATCATCATCCATTAATAAAATTGGCCTAAATACAAATTCAGCTTTTTGTACCTGAGAAGAACCAACTACACTGTTCTGTAACTGCTAAATTGTTTGCAACGGAAAAGCAATCTAGGTCCATAAATCCTAAGCGATGCACCTGTGTGTACGGTCAGATGTTTGTGCAATCTAAAGTATGAGATATTCCTCCAGTAATTCATGAAAGTCAAACCCAGATATGTTTTCAAAACAGATTGTTGACAATCCTCACTATTTTGTGTGGGCTACTCTTTCATTTAAAAGATTGTCCAAGTACACTATGCAAATACTCTTTTAATCTTTGTTGTGTATAGCTTCTCTAATCCTTCGGGTGACTAAAACTGCTAAATGTATTTAGCAGTGTTTGTATATATGTAGTTCTTTCTTAACATCATGTTCACGGAATTGCTAAGATGCAACTGCACTCTAGATCTCAATAATTTTTTTGCTTGTTTTACCGGCAATACATTTACTTTAAAAAAGCTAAACATAGTAAAGGTGCACCTTTATAAACAGTTCATTTTCACGAGTTTGCAGCCAGATTGTACACAATATATGGAACATGTTGATTTATGTATTGGCTACTGCATATGGGTTTCCTTTCGTGGTGTATAAAACTTGGCAATGTAGTGAAACCCATCTGTACATACCTATTTAAAAATTGAAAGATAAAGCATTGGGATTTTTACTGGTCCATGTAAGGCATGGTTTTGTAAAAACAATTGGGGCAACATGTCTAAGTTAACATTTAAAATTAAAATGTGTGGCTGAATTAACGCTGAATGTGATACTTTGGCTTTATAGTGCTCCGGTTTACCTGGCTTGTTTACAATGTGTGAAGCAATGATTTTAGCAGGACTTGGCCTTCTGGAGCCTATTAGAGCTCTTAGTACAGTACTAAAATCATGGAATCCATCAGAGTTTTTTTTGGGTGAGATCGCGTAAATATAAATGTCGTTAAACCCGCCGCCACCCGACAACCAATTAGTCAGGTTTGCCACGTGAACAAAACATGCCAATTCGTTGCTAGTTCAGCACACCGCTTGTGTGTTGGAGAGTAGACCCACAACATTTACAACTCGAGCACGACGTTTTGCTGGTAATTACAACCAGCATCATCAGGCGAGCAGCCAGAGTTGTGGAGAAATCCTGTTTTGGTCACGAAAGGCTTCGTGTTAAACTGATAATCATTGAAGTCCGGGATAACAATGTGGATATGTTAACGGTTTAGGATTCGGGGTTATTGGTTACAGTTTTGGGGTCAACGTTAGGGTTAATCTTTATTAAGATGAGTATTTAGGCTTGGGGGGGGTGGATCTGGTGGAGAGGAGTGATGGTATGGGACTGTAACATCTCCACGCTGACCTTCGGGGCCCAGTTCTCTTGGCGCCACCAAGCCAATCAACTTGTGGCATTCGCCACCTTATCTCGGCTGTAGCAGATTTTTCTGCGTGCAGTGGTGTCTGCCATATACAGTTAAAGTGTTCATTTGGTATTTAACAAAAAAAAACACGACACTTGCCATAACTTCAGTAGTGTCATGCTCATGCTGGTAAAATAAATGAAACAGTGGTCCCTGTCCCTTTGCAAAACGCCCAGCATTCTTTGTTTCATCTTTTCAGTATAGATGCATCGATATGTGATAAGGTAGCATTTCTGTGTGAATAACTATTTGATAAAAAAAACCGAGGAAATACGGAACACCGGTGATCCAAAAAAATTGTGCTCAAAATTCACAACAAATCAAAACTCGTCGCTAATTTGCACTTAAAACATTGCGTCTCACTCAGTTTCCCCAACTCCAGCATCGGTGGCGATATCTGAACTGGTGCTGCACTCACCCGCAGAACCTCCACGTCTATGCGAATGTGTTTAGCTCGTGGCTTCCATGCTGCTGACAGAATACTCTTCTTGGAAAGCGATCCATCATCGGACGTGCGTAGTTCTGATGGACAACTCATTGGGTTTGAAAGTTGATGTATTAAAATAAATTACGTTTAGGCAATGGGCCTTCGTAATAAAAGGGCCATTGCCTGAAACGTTGCCCCCCCCCCCCCTCTTCTAGGGCACTTGTTGATAATTGCGTCAAGTTTTATTTTCGTAGATGTCGATCCTGTGCACCAACACAACTAGTGTCATCCCAGAAGCACAAATTATTCCCACCAAACAACATCGTCATTTGTGGTCCTCCCGCTCCTCCGATGAGCACGGTGAGTGACTACGTACGGCGCGAAAGAAGTTCAGGATACCTACATGTCGTGTGTGATGCCAATGCTTGGCATAGAAATACCAGTCGCAATGACAATGGGAGTTAGCACACTTGTTGGGATGTTTTGCGTGTTTATTTCTAAACGACTGACATAAAGGTAGCGTTTCAAGCAGAAGGCTATGGTGTATGGTATATACAGGAAATATTAAGAGTGCCAAACTCTTCACTTCAATATAAAACTGCATCTAAGTTTGAGACCCCCCCCCCCCCCCCCATCATTGACTAAAACAACCAACGTGTCCATGGCACCCGCTCAGCATGTGCGCCTGGCTGCTGGTACATCTCACGAGAGCGTGGCTGTGCGTTTAGCTTGTCGAGTCCTCTCCTGGGTCGGCATTACACCTAGCAGGAACGCACAAATGAAGAACACGAAGGTTAACACATTCTGGGGTGTCTTGGGGGCGTCCATAAATGACGTCACGCGATTTTGGACGATTTTTGACACAGCGTCACAAAAAGTCAGACCCCTCTCAAATATGACGTCACAAAGCTCTGCCCCCCCCCCCCCCGCCAAAACCATATTTCCATTTTGAAAATGAAACATGCTTCAAATCGCTTTAAACTATTGTCATTGTAGCGCGTATTTAATGTGGCGCTGCACTCTGATGTTGTAGGAGACACATTTATTAAAAAGTCTATTTAATTAAGTAGAACGTGTTGTCTATATTTATTTAAAGTTGCGCATTTTGATGTGACGTCACATTTCTCAAACCCCCCCCCCCCCCTTCATCACAAATGTCTGACCCCCCCCCCCCCAGGTGCGTGACGTCATTTATGGACGGCCCCTTGAGACGTTGCTGCTGACCATACAGTAAAGTACTGTACGCATTATATACCTGGTGTAACACATCAGTTCGGATACATCAGCGGTGATTGCTTTTACAACTACATAATTATAACCTATATTCAACTATATACTTTTTAGTAAAGCAAAGAAGGGGATATTTAATTTTAAAAAATGTATGTAAATAGCCACTTAAAGCTTTCGTGACTGCACGAATTCATATTCGTTGGGTCTTCGGTAAAGCCACGTAGATAGAAAAATAATAATAAAAATATCACGACGTTTTGATCGCAACACAAGCAATCGTCTTCAGGTGAGAGAGAGGGAGAAAGCGGCGATGGTTCTCTTACATTGACATGCTAATCTCTCACAATACAATGGCCACCTCCACAGCCTCAGGGCGCCCTCCAATCTTGCATTTACATGCAAATACCATCTCTGGCCCTGCCTACTTACCCTTGGGCGACACACAATACGATGGGCACCTCCACAGCTTTGGTAGCGCCCTACAGGCGAATCTCTCACACTACAAAGACTCTGTGGTTGGACCATCTCTAGCTCCACCCACCCACCTTGATGCACCCTTCTCAGGCCGATATAAGACCTTGTTGTCTCAGCAGCCTTCTCTCTCACCTGACGACGATTGCTTGTGTTGCGATCGAAACGTCGTGATATTTTTTTATATTATTTTTCTATCTACGTGGCTTTAACGAAAGACCCATAGAATATTGAAATAACGTTCAGCCTTTGTCGGAATTTGGCCGTAAATCGAAAACCTCGGTGGGATAGGCGAGAGCGGTGGCATGGTGGATCAGCAGCGCACTGCGCTATGTGACTTGCCAACTCGAGCTACTTTCGGCCACGGGTCACATCAGTGGCGAATATCTGAACCGGTCCTGGAACCGGTTCAGAAGAACATCCACGACACAGGGTGTGGAGAGGCCCTTTATCCAACAGCTGATTGATTGCCAAAAAAGCTTAACATTTATGATGATTATTAACAAAACATGGTCAGTGTAATTGTTCTCATCATGCCTGAAGTCACATTTAGGCACGGCCATTCGCACCCCACTGTTAAAAAATAGGAATTGAGGCTTAAATTGTGATTATTTTGCAATGGTTTGAATGACATTTCTAAATTTGTTTATAAAATTTTAATTTTGCTTTGCAGCAGGATTTTCATTTGCTTGGCAGTGGCTGTATATGGGATTTGGTCCTTAAAAATGTATTCATATATAGCGTTGTGGGATGCTATTAGCATGAATGACGCGTAATGAAATGAAAGTATTAATTTGCCAGGAGATTTTTTTTTACATTTTTCAGTGGACCAACCAAACTGGACGTTAGATGTGAGAAAACGTTAGATATGGGAGAACATCTAAATGCTGTCCTATTTTTCTCTCGTTGCTCGTCTTCAACTGCTTTTCCTCTCCATGCCTCGCTCGTGCCATCTGCCTCCTCTCTCGCTCATTGTCTCGAGGAGTGTGGGTGAAGTGAGCATCCGAGGTGGCGGTGCTTCAAACGCACGCGAGAGGTGAGGCGGCTTACGTCGCACACGAAGTTTCTGATCGGTTGGAGTGTGGGGTCATCGTAGAGCAGCCCCGCTGCGACCAGCGGCATGATGGCCGTAAATATCCTGGAAACGGAGGAAAAAAATAAACATCATGTCGACAATGTGGATACTGTAGATCCAAAACGTTTAATAGAGCGATGTCAAAATATCCCCATGCTGATGGTTTTACCTGCAAACGATTCAATTGGGATTATACATAGGAACATCATCCTTTTCCCCCATTACAAAAAACCTTGATGGGACCCTCCTGAAAAAAAGTGTTGAGACTCGGCGAGGCATCGTCCACTGTTGTGGGGGAATGCTTCCCCAAACTGTCATGATCTCTGGCAATTCTTCATACGGGGAGCACTCATTCGTAGGCTGCACAGGAGTCTTTAACAAACACAGTATTGTCTGCTGGGCTTGCATATGGCATGCCTAATTGTATTCTGCCCAGGAAAGATATTTTACTTGTTGACACCACCTGGGTTGCCAACATTTAGATATGTTATTTTGATCAGATTAACAACCGTGGGTGATATAAGAATGTTAAAACAGTTGGATAGGTCTTAAAAGTCAATTTACAACTGCTTTTTGTGTTTAGTTTGTTGTCCTTCCCCCGCACCTCTGATTAACACAGCTGGCTACATACGGTGCGAAAGAAGTTGAACATCCACGTGTTTTTACCATCGTGCGTACGGCAGAGGCAAAGCTCCGTGTGTGCTGCTACAGCGTGCACGTACAGGCGTTTGATGCGAGGCTCCGATTGCTGATGCGTCTGAAAAAGCGAGGAGGACACGTCCTGAGTCACCGCGGGCGCTTTCTCAGCGGGCAACGAATTGGCGAGATCGACGTCTTCCTCGCCCTCGTCACTGCGGGGACGGGACGGGACGACGCAGCGACATTGACGTGGTGTCGTCAGCGCTGCCCTTGCAGCAGGCGCACGGGAAATGTTTTGAAGTTTGCGGAGCGACGAGCATTGGGGGCCCACGCGGCTCCGTAGCGCCAGGGAAGGCTGGTCCCGGCTGAGCCCTCACTACCAAGGGCTCAGCCCACTTCCTGAATTCTCACAGTACAAATTAAGGGATGGGCATCGCAGCCATTCCTCATATACATAGTAGGTGAGAGTTAGAGAAGATTGTTGGGTATACAGAAACAAACAAAAACCAGATAATATATTTCCAAATTCTGTTCAGCATTTACCATTTGTGTAGTTTAACATTGTGCCGTGCCCCGCTGAGATTTTTGTAAACACGGTCATGTTACAGGGTTAAACCAAATGTCGAGTAGCGATATGGGCCCCGAGAGCATGTGGCTTGACCATTACGAACATAAGCTGGTGGGCATAGCCTGAAATATTAAGAGCAGAGAGACATCTCTGCTTTAGAGACAGCGCCACTGCCGAAACGCCATCTATTACAGTGCATATCCACACTTATTGATGGTAGCTGGTGCAAACAGCGTGCCCGGTGTCTCGACTGGAGCAATACCTCCTGTAGAGCGCCAGCTCCTCCTGCAGGGACAGCAGCTCGGCCTTCAGCTGGTTCCTCTCCTCCAGCACGTGCCGCAGTTCGCGCACCGTGTAGCGAGGACCCTCCCTCTGTGTGGAAGAAGCAGGCAGAGCGTTCGCGCGGATTTCGCCCAGCGGGTTTACTTGATGCCCCTTTGGTTCATGGGCTCAGAGCAAAATGCTGTACCCCTTGGCATCACCTGAGATGGCAAGTCGAGTTGTACAAACGTGTTAGCATTGGCAATTGGAGGGAATGATGCAATAAACGTGCTTACTAAGTACATTATCAATACTCCACTTGTATTAACCGTATACTACAGAAATTGGTCAATCTAGATATTTGTCGCCACCCTTGGTACCGAATTCTGCTCTGGCCCATGGACTGCTTGACACATTCATTGTTCACGGTGTTCGCTGCCCACACTCTGCGAGGGTTGCCACTTCTTGAGGCATAAATAACCAGGACCTATCATGGGAAGAAAAATATCTCGCAATATCAGAAGAGGGGACATTATCATTGTCTTGTTTGGTGTATTATTAGGCGACTTAAAAAACCCGGGTCTTTTAATGCCCTCGGGGAGACATCCATACAGTATCCCAGAACAACAACCTCGAAAAGAGTCCATTCTGGGAAAACCAGAATAGGTGGCAACCCTCCACTGTTGCATTGATTTAATTTATCTCTCTACTGCGCAGGCATACTGTAATGGCTTAAGCTTGAAAGCTCGTTAAGTCCTTAAATAATTTAACAGTAAACAAAGATTGTGCAAATATTCAGAGACACACATTGCAACGTGTTCGTTTAACAACAAACATTTTCTCCGGAGTTTTGTGGAGGGTTGCTCTTTCTGTGTTCGCTCGCGGAAGACTCCGTGTCAACTTTCGGTTGTTGATTCGGTTCCATTGGAGGATTTCGGTCACTATTCTGTGGTGCCTTGAGCGCTGCTTGGGTAGCAGGAGCAGTGACTTTCTGGGGAGTCTCCACACTCGTTTGTTTTTGCTGCAGCCCAGTTTTCTCCTCCGATCGCAGAACTGAAGAATCCGGGAATGATTTCTTCCTCGCTTCCAGCTCGGCGGCAGGCGGCGCCTGGCAAGACTTTTGCCGTCTCAGCTCGCTGTTCATGCACACCAGCCGGCTCACCTGCAACTGCAACTGCAACACACACAACGCACATACCACTGAATGGTGAACACAATGCAGGAGTTCTCCAGAGGAGGTGTGAGGTGTGAGCAAGACATTGCAGGGCTGTACCTTTGTCTTTTATCGAATACTGATCCATTCCTATGATTATCTCTATCGTGCGTTAACAATGTGTTCCCTGGAATTAAATCTAATTCCTCACGGGACTGTGCAATTTTTTGAATAGTGGAATTACCAAAGTGTGTCATCTCGTCGTGATCCTTTGGAATCTCCACAGGAAACACATTATATTTCGATGAAGATTCAGGAATGACCATTGAAATGAATGGAGATACCACAGATGATTAATAGGATATCAACATTTTAAGAGATCCTGCATCCTGTTAGGAATGACCATAGACGGCACGCTAACGTCTGTTAAAATCGCGTTCAATTGACTTGAGATTTAATCATGGGAATTGGCCACAGAAGAATCGTAATTCCTGGTGGAATTACCTGCAGCGGAATGGTGGAATTTGAATGATTCCTGTAGGAATCGCCAGCGTTATCCCCCGACATCGTCGCCAAAGCGGGACTCACGGCCTTAGTTTCACGCTGGCTCAGGGCCATCTCTCGTTCCGTTTCCCGCAACTCTTGCTCCTTCTGCTTCAGATCTTGTTCCCTCTCCCTGAGCTCACGCTCCCGTTCCTTCAGTTTCCTTTCGGCCGCGTCTCTTTCATTCTGGAGCCGGATCATGTCCTCCAAGTCCCACGTGTCTGCTGGAAGAAGCGGCCAATGCACGCACGCTCAGCCACCGCAAAGGGCAACACTTTATTTTGCAGGCGTGCCTTTTGATGATCCACAACACAGTCCGTCGCATATCCGCCACTGACGAATTCACCGTCCACACCAAAGTGCAGTGTTTTTGCTTTCGTGTAACTGTCATCTCATAGACGTTCGCATATCTGGACACCTTCACGTATCCGCCCCATGCCTCAGTCCCCAGCGAGTCGGATATGCGACCTTGCACTGAATCCATAATCGAGCAGTTTCTGCACGAATGCAATGTCTACAATGTGTGTCCTGCGTGATCGTGACGCGCGTGCTGACCGTCAGACAGGTCCTCGACCGGCGCCTGTGACAGGACGAGTGCGCGTTCCAGACGACCCCTCTCGCGCTCCGAAGTCGCGAGCTTCTCGCGCAGATCGCATGACTCCTGACGCCACAGCTCCTCGGCCTGCTCCAAGTACTGCAACAGGACAAATACATCCCGGATGCCGGCACACGTTCCATCACTCCCGGACACTGCAGCAGATTTTTGTTTCTTCAAATCGCTGTGGCTTGTATCCTGGCCTCTAAAAATGTTTTTCTAGATTTAAAATCAACATTGACAGTGGCTTTTGTACTTAACGTATAGAAAGGTGCGAAATCAGTAAAGATACGCTGTTGTTGACACGCACACATACACACACCAGTGACGTAGTGGGGATGTTGAATCGGCTCGCACAGTGGTGGTTGATGCACTGCGTTATGAGCCCAGCGATCTGAGTTTGATTCCTGGCCACAGCTAACATCAGTGGGGACTAATATGGGAACTCGTCCTTGGCACCCTATTAGCACGGTTTGCTCCGGACGATGCAAAAGAAGTGCAACATACATAAGGCTTCCAAATAATAGCCCCATGCAGTTAAGGTACATTCACAAATCATGCAAATAAATGGGATTTCGCATCTTTAAAGTACCTCGATAATCTACTCTCAACGGGCGTCACACCGTTAAGGGAAATTAAACGCTCAGGCCCCCACGCATTTAGAGGACAAAACTAAACTGTGAATCTCAATCGACTATCACCTGATTAATAATCTCTACAAGAATGCAAAAATCTCTTCCCAAAACCTTCCTGGTTTTGAAGCACAACAATCTCGATGTTTCTGAATGGCTTTTTTTAATATCACAGACTCACCTTATTCTATCTATTGCATTCACCCACAAACCATTTTCCGGGCATACCCCTTCCACTTTTATGATAAAGATTCAGATTTTTATGAGCGTTGCCATCTCTCGGTTACAAAACACCTAAGATATCATGGCAATATTTATATCTCACGCCTGTAAGAGGGAAGCACTACATGCAAATGCATCCCCTTGAGTGATTTATTATTACGCAACTGACAAAATAAACCAGGACTATTAATGTCCCGGGAAGACTTGCAGATTTCGCAACTAGACTCCCACCACTCTTTGCTCGGCTCTGACTACCGTGGGTGTGAATTGAACAAAGCCGGAGGCTCCGTTAACCGGCTGGCTCTCCGGCTTGCGTAAACTCCTTTCCCCAGTTGGCACGAGGAGTCTGCGTCGCGCAGACGTTTGCTGCCCCTTACGAGCGGCGCGCGCTCGAGGCGGGGTGGAGGGGGCATTGGGTCTCGGCTCAGTTGATGGTGCGCGCAGCGTCTATTTGTGCCTACAGTATATTGTGTCCGTGGTGTGTGTGTTTATGCGCGCGTGTGTTTTCATTTTATATCACTCTGTAACGATGCAGAATAAATAAAATAAAAATCGCATTTCGGATAACTTGACAGGAAAGAGCGACACTTCGTTTCAGCGATAAAAACAAACGTAAAGAACACGCGAAGTCCCAGCCGATCTCGTTCCACCAACTGAAGGCCTCACACCATATCGGTAATGGGGGGGGGGGGGGTGGGGAGTTGACCATACTTCACCAGGACCGGTTCTTATATCACTTGGCACTATAAGTACGACGTTAACGAAGTTAACTTATCTGTCCCACTCATCTCATTCGAGGTACAGGGCCTCTATTCGCCAGATGGACACTGCAGCACCACGGCAGGAGCACACACGGACGGTGAGGAAGCGGGGTTGAAGATCTGCCTGGTGTAGGGAACGGGGTCATGAGTCACATACCTATCAACCCCTTATCAGTGTCCCTACCTTATCACAGACCAATTCAGACCTTATTGGTCACCCTGTGCCCTTATAAATCTCAACGTGCATCCTACAAAGTCCCATCACAAGGAAACACATTTTGTTTGCCCGCATTGAAACGGCTGTACGCCGTTTGGGCCTGAAAACTCAATTCCCCTGTACAAGAATACGAGTAACCCACATGGGTTGACAGAGGGGAGTGTGTCCTTGCCGTCAGCCACTCTGCAGTCAGCTATATGTAGCAGTGGCTCCCATCTGCGGCCCGTGGACTTCTTACGGGGGTGGTTCACAATGCACCAAAAAAACAAAACACCACGATTTTTTACAACCCTTGCATCGATAAACAACGTAATCATTCGCGTCTTTTTCTGGAGAATTTAAGTCACGAAATAAATACGCAGATAATATGCGGTGGCATTTGCAAGACGCACTTTTATTTAGTAAGTGGAGGGGGGACATTATACAGTGGTACCCCGGAGATCGAACTTAATTCGTTCCAGAAGGCCATTCGCACACCGATTTGTTCGAACACCGAATTAATTTTCCCCATAAGGATTAATGTAAATGACATTAATTGGTTCCAGACACAAGACATCTGTCATTATAAAGCATTTTTACACGAAGTTTGCAGTAATTACATGCATAAAATCATACAAAAAAACAAGAAACAATAAATAAATGGAATAAATATATGGAATAAATGAAATAAATGAACATTTAACTTCACTTTACCTGTAGTGGAAGGTGGTGAGGAGGAGGAGGTGGTGGTGTTATTGTTTGGAAAGGGAGTCTCCTTCCATAATAACGTCGGGTAACTGCCCTTCTGGGGTTCTTTCTCTTTTGTGCCTCTTTTCTGCCACTAACTGTGAGTCACTTGAGCTCTTTCTGACTAAACACTTATCTAAAGAGGTTATCACACGGTAAAACCTTTGTCTGGGCAAGCGTCCTGCACGCTGCCCATACGCGTCTCAGCCGTACAGGTTCTTTCAAGTCGCGATTGCCCGTTCGACCTCCGAATTTCGTTCGGTTTCCGGGCCAAATTTTTTTTCGGAAATATCGTTCGAACACCGATTTGTTCGAGTTCTGGTGCGTTCGATCTCCGAGGTTCTACTGTATATACATTATTAAGGTAATCCAATGAGTCTGTACACCTTCTATTTTCTAGTACCTATTAAGCGTTGCGTTAAGCGTAACCTCACCTCCATGCCTCCCCCATACCTGGGTACCCCCCCACCCCCCGCGTGCCCTCCCCCCCCCAACACCCACCTGCAGGTGCTCCCTGTCGCGGAGCGCGCGACGCTCGCGCTCTCCCGCGGCGCGCTCGAGCTCGCGGCGCAGCGCGTGCGCCTCGCGGCTCGCGCTGCGCGCGTGCGCCACGTGCGCCTCCAGCGCCTCGAGCGCGCGCACCACGCGCCACGCCAGCGGGGCCGCCACCTGCGCGCAGTCGCCGGGGCCGCCGCAGCCGCCGCCGCCGCCGTTGCTGGCGCCGCAGTCCCCCGGCGTCTCGTAGCCGCGGCTGGAGACCAGCAGCTTCAGGGCCTCCCCGAGCGACGTGGCCATGTCCCACACGTCGGCGGCGCTCAGCTCCAGAGGGGGCTTGTCGAAGGGGCTGCTTCCCTCGGGCGGCGAGGACCACGCGCGCGGCGCCGCGGCGCCGTCGACCGCTGCCGCCTCCATGAACACGGACGGGGCCGTTCGTCCGTGCGTGTGTGTGGGTCAAAGTGACCGGCAGTTGTGACCCTGCTGAAAGTTCACCCTCTGGGAGGGTGGAGGGGACGCTCACGGTCTCAAGCGGACGCTGCGCTGCTGAGCTGCGCTGTTTTCTCCGAGCTGGCTGGAGAGGCGAGTGGCCGTGGCTGGCGGTGTTAATGAATCGGTGGTTGGTGCCCGGTCTGAGTTGACGGCGGTGACCGCGCGCATTCCTGATGCGGCGCACGGGGTGGCCGGGTAACCGGGCGCGTCTATTTATACCCTGCACGCAGCAGCTCCCCCGCCAAAAAGACCAGTACAGTGTCCATACCGTCCGTCTCAAAGCCCTCTTGCCATGTCCTGGAGGCAAACGCCTCTTTCAGATGAAAATGTGAGACGTAGGCATTCACGACCAATTTTATAATTCTATAATTGGTTTGTTCTGGGTTAGATTGTGTCGGTGTACTGGAATAAATTGTTTAACTATAACCCTCAACCACCCGACAGAGCCAATTAAATCAAGTTGTCACATGGGCAAATGTATCAATTGATTTGGGTCATCAGCAAAACTGGAATATTGAAAAGCAACATTTTGCTTATTTTTATATAAATACATTTTTTTACCGAAAATAAACTACAATACTTGAACTATAAACTAAAACTCTTTATTATTTTACCAGGTAAGACCCACTGAGCTATAGATCTCTTTTTCAGAAGTGACCTGGCCACCAATGATAGCTCAACGAAGTGGCTTATCAGGTGGAATTATATAGCAGCCAACGAATCTAAACGCGTGATGTTGATACTAAATGTGGAGGGGAAAACCAGAGGACCTGGAGACAAATCCACGCCACCAAATATATAGCAGGCGTCAAGGGTCGGGATCGAAACCACGACCAGGCGAGGTAGTTAACATCTCACCACCGTGGTGCCCCATGACTCATCTGCAGATTTTGTATTATTTAAAAGACTCGAGTTGGCATGATTAATATATGAAGCCAATTTATCAAAGAACCATTGTCATCTACTACTTTGTAGCTGATTACCCGTCCCCCATTTATAAAGAGCACCCCCCCCCTATCCGCCGTCCCGCCTCCCGAAGGCAGGAAACCCCCTGCAAGCCACTCCCACCGCCACACGGCTGATTATTAGACCAATACCACGCTCCGTCCATCACCTTCCGTCCAGCGGCACACGTGGGAACATACAGTTTTTTCCCCAACTTTTTCGTGGTATCTGATTAGTCGAGTCATCCTACCCACAATCGATAGGGGAAAAACAATCGGATCGCCCAGTTCAAAAAGACCCTTAGCTTTTCGAAACAGGTCTATTGTCCACGAGGGGACCATAATAGTCGGTTACAAAACAGATGTGATACCAGTGTTACATGAGACGAGCTATGTCACTCATGGAGTGTTATGCAACTGGCTACTGGCATTCAGGTCGCCCTGTCCGATTGGTGCAGTTTGCAAATACGTGGTCCGCAATCTTCTAAACGGCCACAGGGGCAAACGCGGGAGGGAGTCTCTGCCATCAAGAGGTTTGTGATGAGTTCAGCAACATCAGCCGAATCATCAAGAGCAGGTCGCGTGCTCCAGGTAAACTCGTCTCACGAGTTGCGCTTGTTATTCGGCAGAACTCCTCTTGTCCGCGGTGACATTGACGGACCAATAGCTCGGATCCGATTGTCCGCAGGGTTATCTGAGATTTTGCAGTTCATGGGATGGGGTTGCCGCACGACTCCTGTTATCCGCGAGGAAAAAAAATCGCCGCTGTTGGGAAGCCGCTTTGCTATGCGTTGTGGGTAAAATCCGCGGATAACAGGAATAGTTTTTGCGGACCCTACAGCTGCCACACAATAGGAGTCACAGGTAATGAGTTGTGTAATATAATCGTATTCTCAGATGCACCCACCCCCCTATATTTTAAATCAAAAGTTGGCGGTGCGTCTTATAATCCGGTACGTACGCATGACCAGATTTGCATACCTTTATTTGTACCGGACACAAGTTTGGGTGCGTTTGATGTTCAGGCGTGTCTTATAATCCGGAGAATATGGTGCTGGCAGCGACAAGTGTCAGATCCTGCAGCCAGCCAGTCACATTGCGAGAGGAGAGGGGGGGAGGGGCAAGGTTACAAAGCAGTGATATCATTCAACTCTGGAGCCGAGCAGTGCGTGCGAGCGACCAGCGGAGGGCGTGGGAGTCCAATAATGGAGAGACGTCCGCGTGGATTGGAGTCGCCCGAAATCCTGCAACGTCGACTCATCATCTTGCGCGCCGAACCGCGGTGTCGACTGGTCAGCATTTGGCCCTGGAGCAAAGCACGCGATGGGTCCCGCTGTCCAAGTACCCCACCTGCCACCAAACGTCGCCCCCCAACCCTGAGTCTCACAGGGCCCATGAGTCCCAGCGCAGTTGCACCGCCTGCACGCTCGCTACGTGGAAATGCCACTGACCCAGTGAGGCATGCAATGTTTTGTGCCAACGTTGGTACGTGGGTGGAGCCCGTTGGAAGCAACATTGGGCCCGACGTTGGTCAAAACATTCCATGTTTTCCCGGCGAAGCCGACTCAAAATAGGCAGATGCAGACACGTGGACAATCGGTGCAGTCCTTGCGGTGAGCCCACGTGGATCTCGAGCCCCACTGTTGCAGCCTTCTCTGTGGCAGGCAAAGAAGAGGACACACCTGAGAGGTCGGCCTCCCGCAGAGGATTGCAGTCAACCAAGTCACTCGCGTGCCGTCGCCCGATGGATCGTCGCATCACGAGACCGTGAGATGTGGCAATGGATTCAGGAGGCCTTCAGCCAGAGGATCATGGCTGCTGCTGCTGGTCATGCAATATGGCATGTCATTTTCCCTTTATTTTAAAATATATTTATGATCGTGGGGGGTTTTGTGTGTTCAATGTTGGTAAACTGTACTTCGCCAGTCTCGGCTTAGATGTTTCCAGGGAACCCACCCCACTGGGGTCGTGACTTGGTTGATTCTCTGAGAGCTGCAGGCAGGAAGTAACCCAGGCAATGTAATATCTAATTTTCGGACCCCAACTAATGCCATCTCCCAGGTTCCTTGCCCAGCCAATTCTCAAATTCCTTAACTCCACATCAACGTTTCATTTCGAACGCACAAGTTTACAATCGCAACATCACGATTTATTACGATTCGTCCCATACAAATTCCATCCGCTTATTATACACGTACAGCCGTTTGTTGGCAATCCGTTGCTTTCCCACACTCAACTGAATTGCGTGGCAAAATGTGGTGGCTCGGTGCCTGGGTTGTTTCCACTTTGGGTCGCTTTCCACAGCTGTATGTTGTCGTCTACCTCTTCGGTTTCATCTTCCAAAACATGGACTTGTTTTCTGGAAACGTTCGGCACATGGGCGGAAGTGCGTGCCTCGCACGTGTGATGGGCGTGAGCCAGCATCCCATTACATCTTCAGCTGCGGCTTGTTAGCGCAACGCACTCATTACTCGGCGGCTCACACGGTGATGAGAAAGCCGAGGCGAGGGCTGCCCCATGTGAACAAAGTTCCCAATGCAGGAGAAATACACAAACAGCCCTTTGTGTCCCATATGACAAACCTTTTTCTTTCACATCCCCCTGTCCACGTTTCTCTCCCTGCATAGAACATGCATCCGCCTTCCTCTACCCCCCCCCCCCATGCCATCCGTCTTTTCAATCGTCTCCAGTTCCATGGTAATTTGAAATATATATGCTGGGCTTAACGTGAAATCTAACACTTTTCAGTCTTAATTTAGCAACATTGATGGATTTGTGTCAGCTGTGTTTAATGCGGCTTGTTGTTGAAACATCGTTTACGCTTGCATAAATCATAAACTTAAGACTTAATCAATTAGAAAGTAATGTACATATACCATTATGTACAGATACGGTCTCGGAAGTCAAAGTCCACTACTGCTAAATGTTAGGAAATGTTTACTTCCATCTTACAATTTCAATACAGATTTAGATTTGCAAATGTTATTTTTTTAATTTAAAAGTTCACAAATACTCAAAGTGTTTACATATCATTTTTTTTCACTGCAGAGCTTGCATTGAACACGGTGTGGAATTCTTGCAGTGTAATTGGTCCTGGCAGATGGAAAGCCCTCTAGGTCAATGCACTTGCACGGGTTCAAAGGTTTGAATTTCCTGCGCAGGATATTATCAGAGCACGCCCGCAGAGCTGCCTGCCAGCAAGTTAAAGAGAAAAGTTACACGATGCCCAGGAGTAGTCCCATGTGTGTCCCTCATTCTGATTCCTAAAAAACCTGCTCCCAAAAAGAAGGAAAAGTGCAGCCGGGCAATGACTTGCTCTCGAGAGATATTTGGCCTACTCTTCCACGCTCTGGTCGAACATTTTGGAAGAGGTAGGAGCACACACCACATGCAACCGCACCATGGATTGTGATACACAAATTATTCTCCAATGCTCCCAAATAATCCACGAAAAATATTGTCAATGGATTATTTCATTTCAGGCCTTACGATCATTGTTATAGGAGACATATCGCACCCAGCTGCATCTCTGGTGCATTAAAGGCATTTGTTGAAATTCATGTATAAGCATCCATTTCCGTCTGGATGGCAAAAATGGAAAAGTGCGCAAGTCAAAGGCTGTGTCGAAATCCCACAGGTCATTAGCCCAACAGCGTTGATTAAATGAGAAGCACAGTATGGTAAGTGTACAATGATTGTCTTGAGGAAGTCTGGTATTTGCCATAGGAAAGTGGAATTTTGGCCATTGGCTCAGGACCGCCCACAGAGAAACGCTTGTTTGAGTATGGAGGGGACATGTTGACTCCCGACTTATCAACGAATGAACTAATGTAATTACGACCTTTTTGAAAATTTCCGAAATTAACCACAGTATTCGCTCCTTTAGAATAATTATCTAATTCCTGCGAATTTGCACATGCTCGTGACAAGGTGAAATTTACGGCTAAATAATAGCTCTCTCCACATTACGAAGTATTGGACTTTCACAAAAATGAGAGTTTTTTAATGATACATTGTGAGAGTGTTCTGCAAGATACTTTACAAATGTTGTGGGCAGCAGTGAAGATGCCCCCACAACTTTCAGGTTCATGCTCCTCCCCCACTTTCACCAGCCCACATTGACCGGCGTGGTGAAGTATGGTCGAGGCCCTCATCCAGCAGTGGACTGACAAAGGGGCTGTACATAGACTTTGCAAAACACCCACACACAACAGCTGTCGCCTTGCAATGCAGTGAAATTCCAGTGGCTTCCAGCACCTGCTGTGACTTGGGCATTATTCATGCCCGCTGTAAAATATAAAATAAAACCCTAAAACTCTGAGGCCAAGGCCTGTTGTATGGCTTCAATATCCAAATCAAGCAAGGTACACCGAACACAAGATTTCACTATAAAAGTTTAATAGCATATATACCGTCACACATGCAATGTGTTCCGTATTTAGGTTGTTTAGAACTATATGTGTAATGTTTATATGCACAGAAATTATATACGTTTATACAATGTGGTTCACAAAAATGCGTTAATTGTTTCATCTAAACATTACCAAGCTGCAGCGTGTACACCATTCTCTGGCACGTGTCTTGATGGGTACTGCAAGATCCGACCACGTTCCTCCAGTGCTCGCTAAGCTGCATTGGGAAAGTGCTTGCGACAAATGAACCACAGTCACTTGCTGATCTCGTCAAGGAGCATAAACCATCACGTGAACTCCGGTCATATCTCGCAGGGCTTTTAGCTGCGAGCCATCGGACAATAACGGTCCCAGCATCGCACACTTTCAGATGCGCTTCTGTGGCCGTCTGGAACGCTCTTCCGATATCAGGAAGCCACTGGAGCTCTGCACTTTAAAATCTAGATTGAAAACTCATTTCTCTAGAACTGCTTTTTGTGTTTAGTTTGTTGTCCTTCCCCTGGACCTCTGATTAGCACAGTTGGCTACGTACGGTGCGAAAGAAATTCAATATACATATACATCGATGCACTTACCCCTCAACTCTCCCACTGGTAGATATCCAATTACCAAAATGCTTTGGGGAATTTAATATAGCAACTGTTCTTTCGAGTTCAGGCACTTGCGGTTTAATGGAGTTTTAACAATAACAGATGAAATTAGTCAAACATTTTTGGATACAATATACATTCTGCCAGCATAGCCATAATATCCGTTTTTGTTATGTACTACACATATAACAATCTACAAAAGGTTGAGAGAGCTTTACAATTAAAGTAGGAAACAAAAATGCCCAAATTAAGAGTACACACTTTTCATTACAGCCACCGAGAGTTTTTATCTGGGTGGTTTATAAAGCTATGGCTTTTTAGTTACGCCTAGTAATAATAATAGGTCAGCTCAGCATTTTATGGACGCTGCCATGTTGTGTAAGCGTCAACACACTGGACGTGAAATCCCCCCCTTTTCCTTTTTGCATTGTGTTTTAATGAAATTACAGGTCATCAAAATACTTTTGATATCGCACGACGTAGCTTCTCTCAAGCTCAACATCACGCCCATGTTGAAGACCCAACTTGACGTGAAGTCAATCGTTTTGCAGGTCCGCTGTTAAGAGGGATGCTGAGGTTGGCCCTGCAACTAACAAATGTTCTCGTTAGCACCTCCCCCCCTCTCCAAGTTCACCCTTCGTGGCTGTTTATCACAATACGAGAGGAGCTGCAAGCAAGGCCTCGAGTATTCCCACAGCATTTCTTGAGCACTGCACTGTGCACTCCATTGGTGGTCCCGAATCCCACTCGAGGAATTGTGAAATCAACAAAAAAGGTGGGAGCAATTTTCTCCAACAGCGCGGAGGGAAAGCGCTGTTGACTTTCGGCGAAACGGCGGTGATTTTACTGACGGCAGAATGACGGGAGCAAGTGGATCACCTCGGTGTGTTACGAGTGCGACTCATTCCCGTTTGCAGGCCGGTGCTGCGTACACCTTGTACCGCGTACACCTTGTACCGCGTACACCTTGTACCGCGTACACCTTGTACCACGTACACCTTGTACCGCGTACACATTGTACCGCGTACACCTTGTACCGTGTACACCTTGTACCGCGTACACATTGTACCGCGTACACCTTGTACCGCGTACACCTTGCACCGCGTACCCCTTGTACCGCGTACACCTTGTACCGCGCACACCTTGTACCGCGTACACCTTGTACCGCGTACACCTTGTACCGCGCACACCTTGTACCGCGTACACCTTGTACCGCGTACACCTTGTACCACACACACCTTGTACCGCGTACACCTTGTACCGCGTACACCTTGTACCACACACGGCGATGGCTGCCACTTGGGAGTCTCCTTGGCTCGACTGCAGCAGGGCATTCGAATGGTTGGGATGAGATGTGATGTGAGGAGCTTTGAGTTTTAGGTATTTAAGCACCGTATTAAAAATGCAAATCCATAATGAGCAACCCAAGCCACGTGTAAGATAAGAGGGTAATGAGAACGATGTTGATGATATGGGTGACAATATTGAATTATAACTGACTGCAGTACATATTGGTTATTTTAACATTGCTCTCTCAAAGTTGTTGTATTAGTCTGGTATACACTCCCACGCACAAACATTATTTCACAAAAGTAGTAGCTAGAATATAATAATCATATGTAATCATTGTCGATGCAATGAGAACGAGACCCTAATGTGGAAGCACTGGTAAGGCCAGACAGCACTGTACACAAACGCAGAAATCACAGGTCACCCGTATTGGATTGCCACAGAAGTAATTTGCATGTTTGTGTGAAATTCTGTAATGCACACTGAAGTGACCGGTTTTCGGAGCGCGTCATCTCGGGAATACAACCCTTGCGAGCCGCGCCAGTGAGCACAGAGAGCATGCATAGCATCTGAGAGCACAGCAGCTCGATGCCACTTGTTTTTCTTCACCACAGAGTGTGGACATCACCCAGTTTTAGCTGGAGCTTTGTTGCTGTGCAAGAGGGCTGCTCCTTCTCTACATCGCGGGCCGGGTTCAAAACAGAAGGAGCAGGCATGGTCCTCAAGCTATCAAATAACCAACTCCTAGCCAATGAGAATTAGACCATCAGCTGTAAAGAGCAGGGAAAGTCAGAACAGAAATGTTCACACGGGACATAGAAAACACTGGGCGCACTGACACGCACACACGCACGCGCGCACACACGCACCCGGCGGGGAACGTGGCTTGTGATGGAGGCCTGCACGCTTCACGAGGGGGCCCCCTGCGGCTGGGAGCTCCTGCAGCTGCGGGATTCTGTAACGAGCGACGTGGCCTCAAACGACAAAATGTTTCAACATGTGGGGAATGCGCTGCCATCACGCGGGGTGTGTGTACCTGCACACAGGTGGAACTATAAACTAAATATATAGGGCCCACTGAGATATACAGCTCTTTTTTCCAGAAGCGACTTGACCACAGATGATAGCTCAACAAAGTGCCTTATCACGTGGACATTTAGAGCAGCCAAATACGCTAAACGGATGATGTTGATTCTAAATGTGGAGGGAAAAACCGGAGGACCCGGAGAAAAATCCACGTGACCATGGGGAGAGAGCCATGCAAACTCCAAATATACAGCAGGCATCAGGGTTGTGATCGAACCCACGACCTCATGCATACCATGGCACCGTGGCACCCCAAACACTCGCTGAAGAGAGATTGCTTTGGGCGAGTGGTGTTTGTTTCAGTTTGGTTGAATTTTGTTGTCTACTCTGGCATGTCTCATCGAACGGTGCCGTGCGTTATTTGTGTATTTTCTGCAGAGGCATTTAGCATATGGTCAAACATGTCCAAGATAAAATGGTTTCTTGCTCAAGTGAGCAAGGTATCATCTGTTCTTACAGCCCTGAGCTAGTGTTAGGACATTCCACATGCATCTGTCTGATGGAGTCTATCGACAGGATGAATGTTGTCTTCCCTCACTGTCGTATTCATACTGGTAGGAACCTCCTGGTTACACCAGCCCACAGGGGATTATTGTGTCTGTCGTGCAGGGAGGGGCTGGGTGGGGAGGGTGGGGAGGGGCTGGGTGGGAACGGTAGGGTTGGGTGGGGAGGGGAGGGTGGGGAGGGGCTGGGTGGGGAGGATGGGGAGGGGCTGGGTGGGGAGGGTGGGTGGGGAGGGGCTGGGTGGGGAGGGTGGGGCTGGGTGGGGAGCGGCTGGTCACCCCGTGGTGCCCTTATAAAACTCAACGTGTAACCTACTCACGCCGGCTTGTGCCCGCCCTCACAGTCGGCCATATTTGCGAAATACACCACGCCGCCGTTGACCCTGGCCATTGACCGAGCAACCCAACGTTCCTACCAGCTCCCTCCGCAGGAATGTATTTTATCCAATATCGCAGTTCTGCAGTGTAATCTTCAATGAAGGGCTAGGTCAACCCTATAGAAGATTCAAGCTCACAACAGACCAATTAAAAGCCACATCCTCCAGCTATTGTGCCTATCATACCGATATTACAGTAAGCAGCTCATTGATTTCACGCATGAATGCAGCACATGTTAATCGGCAGTGTGATTTTTGTATGCAGCAGTGAGGAGCTTTAAAAGGGAATTTAATCCACTGGCGAGTAAGGTTGGCCCAATAACGATACGTCGTATTCGGTGAAGTTGATCTTGTTATGTTGCTTGATGGGATTAGAAATGGGTGGGGTTGGTTGGTGTTTAAAAAAAAATGGAAAAACAGCTGATGTGGTACTTAAATGTCGCTCTTTCACAAAATAATGCAACTGGTTGTATTTCCATTAAGTGGATAACTGTGTAGCACTTTTGTACAAAGGAAGAAAGAGAGAGAGAGTGAAGGGGGGGTGTTCATTTTGGGAGGGGGTGCAAACGTGGGAGAAACGTGAAGCCTGATAAACATTCTAGTTTGTGGAGGTTCAACTGCCCATTGGGTGGGAAAATCACAGTGTTTTCTGGCCCTCACACTCACTATGAATGTCATTCTCATCCATAAAATGGTAAAAAAAATGTTATAAAAGTAGAAATCTGCATTCTCTGTGCACGATGTTGATTGCTTCCAAAGCCACGGTGGCCATGTGGCAGAGGGCAGGAGGGACTATTTAAATGCATTTCAGATCAATTATATCGAAATCAAATACAAATTAGCCACTTCATTTCAGTAAAATACACTACAATAATAATTGAAAGTTTTTTACATTTCAAAGTAAGTATAATGTTCAAATTTAAGCGAATTTTGGATGGAGCACTGCCCGAAAGTTATTCCGTGAACTTTTCATAATTGTTTTATTTTTTGCAAAACATTGTCATTCCAAAATCGTAGCTTTAGTCATAATGCGCGGCTCACACTCTGTAGGCTGTGAGCACAATTCCACACAAATCTCCATGAGACAGATCAGAACCTTATTGGTCATCTCTGGTCTTGGGCCATGACATCATGAGATTGTATCATGGTGCCATTATGCTGTCAGAATCCCCTCACCGTCCCGTAATTTTTGATTGGTTACTGTTTGTGGAGTCAATCTGTGCTCCATCCAAGTCCATGGGCCCCAAGACAGCAGCACCAAGTGTGACCTTCTGCCATGGTTAAATCCACCCCGAGCATCAAAAGTCTGAGATCAGGTGTCATCTTCCGGTGCCATTCCCTGGCATGATTGGGTGTTCTACAGAGTCCCAGAAAGATGAGTCTTAAACTCATGTCGTGGTGGCAGAGTGGATACTTGAATCCAAGGCAGATCCCCCCCCCCCCCCCCCCCCGTTACTACATTTTTAAAACCGAGCAGTTGAATTTCATCCGGGTGAACAAGGGTTTTGATTAGATATTTTCACTCAAGTTTCACGAACATCACTGAAATGTATTTTTAAGAGTGTGTGGAGATGCCTGTTTATGTTGCACACTTTGTTTAATGAGTTACGTGATGCATTTCATGGCCCATCGAAGATAACAAGTTTTCAAAAACATGGGCATGCAGTTAACTAGTGTCACCTGTCTACAGCTCAAATGGAATAGAGCTCAAATAAACAAATACGTAGACATTGCCTGCTGTATTCATGTCAGAAGTGATTATTTTCCCCCCACCACTTATGAGCCCGATAAAATTACTTTATTGCAAGAATCGCAGTCAATTAGTCTATCCCACCTCTGTCCACCCAAAAGTATAAAGAGGCATACCACAGTTAGTGGATCGGTAGGTCACGTGGTGTGGTGAGGTAGAGTGTGGGTACTCACACCTCTCTTCCAATAAGTCTGGCCAGCATGGAAGAATAGGCCAAAATAGCCTCTAGAGAGGGCATCTCTAGAGCTTTCTCCAGTGGAGGCGCATCTGCCAGTAGCGACGTAAACAACCTGCACTTTTACCAATTTAGTGTACCATGTTTTCCATTGAGTTGAAAAATCAACAAGTGTAATTGCTTGCAGCACACATTGACAAAAAAAAAACACACCGAAAACCCACCTGCAGGGGAACACTAACTGGTTTGTAAATTAATTGCTCCTTTTATGAATGGTCGTGACAAGACCAAAGTGGTCTTACGTGGAAAAAATGGGTTTTCAGATTTCCTGAATGCACAGAGTACAACAGCCATCCCTGATTGTAACCACGGGAGTAAAGGATTAGATATTTCGCGCTGCGATGAACGTGGCCGAGTTTTAAAATCTCGCCTTGCCAGCGCTCACCCTCTCTGGGCAACGCAGCCCGCTGCTCTGCTGCAGAGCCATCTCGTGCTGGCGGGAAGGCGACGAGTCGATGAGGTCGTACACGATCGCCATGGACCACATGGCCGACGGGAACCACGACGTCACCTCGCCCTCCTTGCTCACCAGCACCATGGAGAAGTAATCCTCGCGCAGGCCAAAGTGAGCGCGGAGGTTGCGTGCCATGACGCTGTCGATCATCTCTCGCTCAACCGCGTGCGGCTTTCCTGAAATACAAATTGTGACAATAAATGGAGCAAACTGATCGATGTTGATTGATAACATTTGTATTCTCCAGCAAAACAAAAATCTCACTTTTGATTCTTCGAACTTGTTCATGAGGGCCCTGCCAAGTTTCGCAGTCAGAGGGCGATGTAGCTATGCATTTCCCCAAGTGAGTGATTCGTGGGTCATTTTTCAAATTGTACGCAGAGACGGAATAAAAGAGTTCGGAGGCCACGACTCGAAAGGAAAAACTAAGGAAAGGAAGTAGTAAAAAAATAGGGGAGGCCATAGCACAGCAGTGTAAAGATAAAGGCTGACAACAACAACAACGTGAGCTTTGGTGGTTATAGGTTATGCACCAACAGAGATATTAGTTGATAAACATCCAAAGACAAAGATCCCCCGTATAGCCTTAACAGACTGTTGGGGAAAGTGCTGTTAGCGTGCACCTATGAAGGCCGACACGGCACACGAGGGGATGGGTGGTCAGCACCACGCCCGGCCACCTTTGTCTCTCTAGTGATGATGTTTATACACAGCATCAGGTATTCATTTGAGGCTGAGTCGACCTAGGGGAGGCCCAGGACCGGATAAGATAATCGTCACTGGTGTTAGGCGTGAGAGAGAATCAAACCCAGGTCGCCAGGTTAATAACGCAGCGCGCTAACCACTACACTACAGCTCCCCACAATAGGTTATGTTATGTTACGTACCAACAGGTTATGTACCAACAAAGGTTACCAACACTGATGCGTGCTGATAAACATCCACATCCACACACACACATGGACACACACACCATTGGCGGGGTAGATCTCCAGCTGGCCATGCACATCCTGGTCCAGGCCCAGCAGCTGAATGACCACCACGTGGCGCAGGCCTGCGGGGACACAGCAGCGCAGCGTCACAAACGACGTGCGGCCACTCCGCACAGACTGTGGTGTGCTGGGGGTGTCGACCGTGCTGGTCTTCCCAGGATCGTCACATTTATTGAGGTAGCTCTCCTGGGAAATGTGAGGAAATAAGACCGTGAAATTAATCAGATTGGAAGATGGATAGTAAAAAGTAGATGGAAAGTGAAAATGAGATAGACTTTACCAATGGGATGATTAATGCAAACAAGACAGACAATACAAATGGGATGTACGGTGCAAACGAGATAGAAAATCTACGCAAGTCTAACAATATAAACAGGACAAAATTACAATTGAGACGGAACACATGAGGCAGACATTACCGATGAGATGGACAACACAAGACAGCCATGACCACTGAGGCGGACACAACAACTGAGTTGAACAGTACAAACGAGACCAGGGGTCACCAACTTGTGGCTTTGGAGCCGCATGTTGCTCTTTAAGGGCTGCTGCTTCGTGACGTTGATTAAAAAGGACCACCACCGTCTCCTATTCACGTGCAGTGCGGCTCTTGAAACATAGTTTGATTTTTTACCAAATTCGAAAGAAATGGCTCTTCTTGTTATTCTGGTTGCCGATCCGATTCAAACAAAGCGAAGAGTACAAATGTGGCGGACAGTCAAGTAAAGAGACAGTACGAGTGACAGACAATACAATGAGGCAGTACAAAATCAGGCAGAACATACGAAATATACAGTACAGCCAAACCAGTAATTTGTAGAAACAAGATAAATACCACATCAGACAGGGACTACAAATGAGATATAATGAGACAAAAGACACAAACAGGACTGTAAACAACGAGAAAGGTGACACGTGGAACAGGCAAGACAAACGTGACAGACGGCAGAAAAGCAAATGACAGGACGTACAAAGACAAACAGCAAGTGAGATACACACAATACTAACAAGTCAGCCAAAGCAAGCAAGAAGATACGGATGAACCAAATCTGATTGACCTCTTTACTTATTTATTCTCAAATTGCCGCGAGGACTAATCGTTTACACCGGTGTTCTTTTTGTTGCAAGGCCAACGGGGGCCACTGGCGGCCCCCGTTGGCCTTTAGTGCGGCCCCTGACGTGCGGCCCACCGGAACAACACACAAAGAGTGCAAACACCCCTTGCTGGCAGTCTGGCGGCCCTCGCACTGATGGTGTCTTACCGGCGAAAGTGCCCCCCCACCCCACCCCTATGAAGATTCGTGAAGAACACCGGTTTACACGTCGGGTCGACGGAAGAGGCCGAGGTGAAGCTCCTACCCAGCGAGCAGGCCTGGCCACGGAGGGCGTGGAGCTGTTGCACGTAGCTGTGCTCTCTCTTGCCAGGCGACGAGATCACAAAGAGTCGCTTCTTGGAGTGGAACCTACGCGTGACACACGCGCGCACGTACACTTTACTTCCAGCGGCACGTCACCGCACCGTCGGTCGCTCTCCTTCTCAGCCAGCCGCTCACAGGGGGTGGTGGCTACTTCCTCCAAAACCCTGTAGGCTTACACAACCAGCACAGGGTTACCCCCCCCCCTCCACTCCCCTTGTCCCATACTGTTGATTGTATGGGAGGCACTGTTGGCTACGTATGGTGCAAAAGAAGTTTAACATACATACAAATTTAAGCTGAGAGGTTTTCCCTCCACCAAGACCGTACCTGTCAACCCAAACGCTTTACCGTATTCTTTAACAGGGAAATTCAGTTTTCAGGTCCATCCGGAGGACAGCCGTTTCAATACGGGCAAAAAAAAATGTCCATTTGTTTGTGTTTCTCGCTCGTGATGGGACTTTGTAGACTGAACGTTGAGATTCACCAGGGGGCACGGGTGACCAATAAGGTTTGAATTGCTCTGTAATAAGGTAGGCACTGTAAGGGGTTGACAGATATGCAAAACCTCACAAAATGCTCGTCAAAATCTATAGACATGTTCCGAGGCGTCTGAGAGCAAATTGATATTCATCCCATTTAATGGTCTCAATCAAGGTGGCGCTGAAAGTAACATTTCCTTATCGTGTTAAAGAGTGGTTTGGGCCGCCGAGGCAATTTACATCTCCTCGGCAAAATGCAACCTCCGCTCATCCTCCAAACATCTCCAAACCTCCGAGCGACGGCTAAGGCTGCAGTAGGCCTCCCCAAATCTCACCTTGGCGAAGTATGGTGCAAAAAACCCCTATGACCGATAAGGCGTGGGGAGGCCATCATTCAGCAGTGAATTGACGTAATTCATTATTATTATTGTTGTTGTTGTGATACTTTAACACACGCGTGGGATTTATCGTGAACAACCCGTCCACATCCGCGCACGCTCGCACCTGCTGAGCAAGTGGGCGAGAGCGTTGCCCGCGGCTCCACGGCCAGAACCGCAGCGCGCTCGCGCGCCCGTCTCCAGCGCCAGCTCCTGCAGGCGCGAGGGCAGCTGGTCCAGCACCCGCAGCAGCGTGTCCAGCGGAACGGGGTTCTCAAAGTGTGCCTGCGTCGGAAACGGCACGTCCCACCGTCACGCAATATGCGTGTGCCACGAGCAATTAAAACGGCGCCGCGTTGTTTGTTCGGCGGCGCTCGGGCGAAAGCGAATCAAGCGAAAGTTTAGAGCCTCGAGCGGACAGATTAAGGTTGCCCCGGATCGATGAGAAAATATGGTGCAGAAAATTATTTTGCTTATATTCAGATTCCACAATGAACGTCAAAAGCTCGTAATTGTAACGAAATGAATTGTCATTGTAATTCGACTTTGACCTTCACAATTTCACACGGCTGTGAAACGTCCCGCATAAAACTGCGCACTACTGCTTGTTAATCAGGTGACACACCCAAAAGCATTGTCTGCTTTAACCCCCTCCCCAATGGGTACCGCCACTGCCGCTGGGCTGCTGCGGTGAGAGCGGTGCGACGCTGGGGAGGAGGTACGCGGCTCGCGCGCGCACCGTGGCTCGCATGTCGTAGTCGGCGAGCACGAGGCGGTAGGTGGCGTGGGGCAGGCCGAACTCGTGCCGCAGCGCGCCCAGCATCTCGAAGGAGATGAGCTCGTTCCGCACGTTCAGGGCCACTTGTTCCGCGTGACCTCGCGTGCGCGAGCGGTAGACGGGCGGGAGAGCACCCACGACACGGAGACATCACCGTGGATTTAGTATAGATATGCAGTGCTCCCTCGTTATTCGTGAGGGATGCGTTTCTGGAGATGCTCATGACTAGAACATTTGGCGGATAATGTTATTGCCCTACGAAAATGACCGTATCAAAAGTTATCTCTATCTATCTATCTCACCACTTTATGTCATCACTTTCTTTCATCAGATTCTCTCGCAGCACTTTATGTCATCATTTTCTCTCTTTCTCTCGATGCAGTCGTGTCGAGCTCCAGATGCAATTCTCCGGATAGCCAAAATCGCGGATAGCAAGTTCGTGAACAATGAGAGAATACTGTGCGACGACGAAATGTGTTCGCTGCCCTGCTCTGAGATTGCATGTCGGAACCCCCCGCGCATTTTCAATTTACCGTCACATTTACCTGCCACAAGCGGCGTCTCCAGATGGGTGCAAGCTAAACGGTGTCAGGTGTGTTTCACCTGCACGCTGCCACAGCTGAATGCGAGTTCAAAAGTTTACAGCCGAACGGGCTCTTTAACTCGGGACCAAACCTAAGTGGCTTCTCCTCGGACCGATGCTGCAAATGGCGCTTCTTGTTTTTAGCCACCACCTCGTGGAACTGCCTCGTGGCTCGGGCTGGATGGCTCACCGTGCGGCTGCTGGTGCCCGTGCCCGGCACACGGCAGCAGCCCTCGCATTGGGTTTACTCCGAGGAGCACTCTGTTGCCCGTGAACAATGAGCCGATGCCCGGCGTATAAACAACACTCAGATGAATGTTGCCGTGAGAATAATCTCTGAATCATCTCTGAACGCTGCCGTCTCTACTGCCACGCCAACGCCGTCAAGCTCTCGGACAAAACGAACGCAGGCACCAAATGTGTCACTCGACAACACCGCCTGCAACTGGCCTGGGGTGAGTAACTGAGGTGCATGGGCTTGCCAAGTTAACACCTCATCAGGGACCTGTCCATGCATCGGCCCAATGGCTTCGCTCTACCGTGGCTTCAGTGGAGTGTCACTCATTCCATTGTGGTCAGGGGCTGTGCATGGCAGGGAATAACTGTGGGGCGCATAGTGTGGCTGTCGGGTAGAGGACATTCTACCACACATCATGTTTGCCCCGCACGGTGCACCTGGGTGTGCCGAGTGCTCTTCCCAGAGTGCTGTGTGTGCTGATAACGATGATGATATATGACACTTTCATCAAAATAGGTGTCTGTACATTTAGGCATTCATATTCCTAATGTATAATACACACATGTAACCATGTATCTTCATTATACTTCATGCATATCATACATTGCATACATCTCAATCCATTACAAATCAAATATGTTCATTATCTACCACTTAGCGGTTTAATCTGTGAAACGCAATTTGATGGAGATAACAAATGAAGCACCGATGCAGCATTCCATGTGACCAAGGCATCAAACCGACAAAAACACTTTTGCTCCAGTTTATTATTTACTTTTGCAACACTTACGGGACATTTTACGTGGAAAATGGAAAAAAAAACGAATTGCAAACCACATTTAATAAATACTTAAAATAGAGGGCATCTGTTAAGATCCAAGGATCTACACTTATTCTGCAAAAAACCCTTGCGGTGCTTTGGCGAGTCAAGCCTCCTACCTGTGTGGTGGTGGTCGATGCGCAGGGTGCTCATAGACGCATTCCCAAGCAGCGCGAGGACGCTCACCTTGCGGAGCGCAAGTTCGCACTCGCGACCCTTCAGCGCGAACTTCTGTGCGCGGTAAGCAGCGTCCTCCTCGGCCGGAGCACCCAGCACCTTCGCGCACGCACGCACGCACACACGCAGGCACGCACACACGCACGCACGCAGGCACGCAGGCACACACGCACGCACACACGCACGCACGCACACGCACGCACGCACGCACGCACACACGCACGCACACACACACACACACGCACGCACACACGCACACACGCAGGCACACACGCACACATGCAGGCACGCAGGCACACACGCACGCACGCACGCACGCAGGCACACACGCAGGCACGCAGGCACACACGCACGCACGCAGGCACACACGCAGGCACGCAGGCACACACGCAGGCACGCACACACACACGCAGGCACACACGCACGCAGGCACGCACACACACGCAGGCACACACGCACACACGCAGGCACACACGCACGCACGCAGGCACACACGCAGGCACGCACGCAGGCACGCAGGCACGCACGCAGGCACGCAGGCACGCACGCAGGCACACACGCACGCAGGCACGCAGGCACGCACGCAGGCACACACACAGGCACGTCCACCCAATCCACCACGTCGGCCATCGTCCTCAACAGGACGGTAAAGGTGCAGCTATGCAATTGCCTGCTCACAGCTGCTCGAGGGATTTCTAAAGATCAAGGAGCATAAACCAACCCGCAAACTCCGGTCATCCTAACCCATTGAACAAAGACGGTCACTGCATCGCGCGCTTTCAGATACGCTTCTGCGGCCGTCTGGAATGTTCTTCCCTACCGATATTAGGAAGCCACTGGAGCTATGCACTTTTAAATCTACATTGAAAACTAATTTCTTTAGAACTGCTTTTTGTGTTTCGTTTCTAGTCCTTCCACCGCACCTTCGATTAGCATAAAATAAGTTAAACATACATACATAGAGGGTATAATGACCTACTCTTTCATGCTGGACAGATATCTTGGAGAGGTGGGAGTACCCATACTTTACCACTCCTCACACTGCCTGCGATTGCCGAACTGTGGTGTACCCATGTACACTGCTGGATCGAAAGATATGGGAATGATTAAAGAAAATTGCCCATTATTTGAACTGCTGTGCCAGGAGATCAAATCGAACTGGTGACCTCCGGATCGAAAGTCCGGTCACTCTGGTGTGCTGCTAACCATTACTCCATGACAGCAAACCTGAAAATATAAAAACTGATTGAGTGAATATTGAACGTGTCGGATTTTAACTGCGTCACAATTCGTTTGTGTGGAGCCACAATCACAGCAGCATTAAATCTTGACTTAAAGCTTTCGTGACTGCAGGAATTCATATTCTTGGCTCTTTCGGTAAAGTCACGTAGAGAGGTAGTTTTTTGTTATTTTCTTTGAACCTATCTACGTAACTTTACCGAAAGACCCAAGAATGCACAGCAGCATTAATGATATGCCGTACATTAAATGTATCTTAAGGATTATCCACAATACGTTACAAACAACATTTCAGATTATTTGGCTGTTGTTCAGTACAAACCGTCAAATTCAAAGTGCTTTCCTTCTCAAACAAGCGTGGGGTGGTGCTAAACCCCTGTTTATTGTCTTGAGCTGGTTTGGATATTTCATTGTTATGGCAAGGACAAGTTTATCCATCGCATGGTGAATTCGTAGGGCACACAATATAGTTGCCCAAAGTGGGTGTGCCACTCTCCTATACACCTTGCCGATGATTTTACACAAAGTGGTACTCGTTTTAATGACGCTGGGAGCATGAAGGGCTGAGTTGAAGTCAGAATTATGACACTTTAACTCTTGCGATGCTCGGCCAGATGTGAGACGTGGGTGCAGGTCACACCTTGCCTTTAAATGTTTTTATACAGCAATGTCACTGACAGTTCCCACCGAAAACCAGTGAACCTCCACCTGGCTGGTGGTCACCAGCCAATGCTTTAAATAGCAATGCGGTCTGGGCATGCTGACGAAGCTTTGCAATGTCGAGATATTTACGTGTCTGCTGCCACTCCCTCTGTGCAAAGTCCTGTCTTGCCCAGAGATGGTGGCAAGTTGGACCCGGGAGTGACAGCAAGGTGTAAGAGGGTGGCACACCCACCACGGGTAAAAGCATGTGTGCCCTTACGAACTCACCCTCTGACCCACCCACCCACCTGACCCAAGCTCCCTGTAAAGGGTGGTTTTCCACAGGCTATTTTCCATGTCCAGTCAGAACGAAGCCATGCTAAGGTGGCCTCATAACCAGTGTCGGATTATCCGAGTAGCAAAAGTAGCATATGCTACGGGCCCCGCACTAGCTTAATCCGGCACTGCTCCCAACACGTGTGCATCTGGCTCGAAGCCAGGCAGGGTGGAGGGCTATTGACCCGTTCCTTGCGCATGACGCCGGTCCCCACACAGTGAAGACGCCGCCAGTTAAAACAGGTTTTGACTCGGTCATTTCATGACGTCAGTGACACGGCTCGGCTTCTGCAGTGGAAAATCAACCCGGCCAGGTTGGCTCGGCACAGCTCCGTCGTGGCTTGCTTGTACAGCGGCACTACAGATAAGGCCCCGCTGCATCGGTGGCGCCAGTGGGGGCATCAGGGAGCAGGGGAAGCCAATCACACACAGGCCTGTACCGGACATGATCCCGCCACAGACGTGTACACTTGATATGCCACCCAGGATCGAATGATTTTTCGTACCTTTTTGGATCAGTGTGAGAAAGCAGATGAGGCCTTCCCCGTTGTTGGTGGCATTGCCTCTGGTGCGCCACAGCTCAGGCTGACGTTTGGCACACACAATATTGCGATTTCATTGCTCCGTCGAACCGTTTGGCCATCGTCTTGAGCATGCTTCCATTCCTAGCTGCCATTCCATCTCGCTTTGAAGGAGCGCTTCCACGTGCGTTGTATGACGGCCACGTGTCTTGCCGAATCTATGGATTAGGGGCCGTCCATAAATGACGTCACGAGATTTTTGACGATTTTTGACCCCCCCCCCATCGTCACACGGCGTCACAAAAAGTCAGACCCCCCCTCAAATATGACGTCACAAAGCTCTGCCCCCCCTCCAAATAAACATGCTTCAAATCGCTTTAAACTATTGTCATTGTAGTGCGTATTTAATGTGGCGCTGCACGCTGATGTTGTACGAGAAAATATTTATAAAAAAAGTCTATATTTATTTAAAGTTGCGCATTTTGATGTGACGTCACATTTTCACCCTCCCCCCCCCCTCGTCACACATCGTCACAAATGTCTGACCCCCCCCCCCCCAGGTGCGTGACGTCATTTATGGACGGTCCCTTACCTGTCTGCAGACTGGGTAAATTACGAATGCTGTGTCCACTGTAAAATCATACAGATATAAAACTTGCTCACGCCACTGCTGGGAATTTTCGAGAGATCATCGAGAGGGTAGTTTTCTGCCTACTCTTCCTCTTGGCAGAGGTGGGCAGTCCCCATACTTTATCCCACCACACTCGACCTGCCGATCGACTCTTTTGTGTGCCCGTCTATACTGCTGCTTGGACAAAACGGTGGATTATAAACTATTAGGGTTGGTCTAAAAAATATATATATAAAGGGTCTACCATTCTCTTATTAGTAGATGTCCTGTTGTTGGCCTATAGCCAAACCGTCGCTCGTCATTAACGTGGAATATCCACCGTCTGCACAGCTCTAGCAACGGAGACGAGACATGCCCTCTACCCGCCCCCCATCACCACCACCACCAACTCTCGTGTTATCAGATGCTCTGCGTGTTCTACTTGTATTCTGTACAGCTCCGAGTGTGTGTGTGTGCAAGGTGGGCGCCGTTGCGCCACTCGCGGCTATTACAAAGATCCGTCGCCACCGGTGCACGCACGCGTACCAGCAGGCGCCTCCTGCCCCTGAAGTGCTGCAGGAAGGCGGAGAGTGCCGCTGCCCCGGATCCCGCAGCCTCAGCGCCGCCTCCTCCTCCTCCTCCACGCGCGGATCCAGCGACACCCGCGCCGCCGTCGCCGCCGCCGCACGCCTCACCGCGCCCGCATCCGCGCTGCGCGCCCATGGGGGCCCTGGAGGGTGGAGGGGCCACGGGGGCCCTGGAGGCTGGAGGGACCCTGGGAGCTGCAGGGGCCACGGGGACCCTGGAAGCTGCAGGGGCCACGGGAGCCCTGGAGGCTGGAGGGACCCTGGGAGCTGGAGGTGCCACGGGTGCCAAGGTCGGGGGAACTCGGGGCACGTTCATCCGCGCCGGGGGTGGCGGTGGCACCCGATGTGCGCTCCGTGCCGCGCCTGGCGGGGCTCCTGCCGATGCCGCCGGTGCCGCCCGTGCCGCCGGGGCATCCGCGGTCTCCCGGCACCGCTGCGCCCATCCCCTGCGGCCGAGCCGCTCCCGTCTGCGCGCTGGCATCACGTCGATGGCTCTGAGCAGAGCCTGGAAGCGCACGGGGGTGACGAGGCGCCGTTCCACCTGCAGCGTCTTGCGCAGCAGCGCCATCCCGAAGCGGCGCGGGTCGAGGCGCATCGCGGCCAGAGCGGCACGCACGGGGGCCGAGGCCGGCAGGGGCTCGTCCAGGGGCCTCCCCGTGTGCGACACGCGGCGCAATGTGGCGTTAAGAGCGCCTCCGGCCACGCCGCCCGGCGCCGGCGTGACCACGACCAGCAGCAGGCGCACCTGGCGCTCCGAGAGCTCGCAGTAGGCGTCGCGGCTCATCAAGGACATCATGGCCTGGAAGCTCCGGTCCCGCGGATCCGGGGCCACCAGCACCCAGAGGCGCTCCCGGCCCGCCAGCTGCGCCAGGTAGCCCGCCGCGGCTGCGGGGGCGGGCGCGGCGAGGCAGACGGGCGGCAGGCGGGTGGTGGTGATGAGGATGATGAGGATGGAGAGGAGGTGGATGGGGAGGGCACGTGTCTCCATCGCAATGCGTGCCTGCACCTGATGTTGCAGCGACGTCCAGCAGATCCAACTCACTGCTTGCGCACGTTTACAAACCTAGCAAACTATTTAGGAACAGCGAAACAAAGATTAACGCAACGCTGTGATAACGACGTGGAGCACAAACACGTTTGTAGAGGAATATTAACGATGATGTCGCACCACCTCCTTGCCACGGTGACCGCGTCTTGATGCCCCCAGCACCAACCCGCGTCTGTGTGCGCGGGGCTCCACTCCGCTACACTTGAGCTGCCGAACTGAGCGAGACCCAGAGCCTCATGATCCCCCCCTACGCCAAGCGTCCCGCCCACCTCACCCTGGTGTCTTGACCCTGTGGGTTGCCCTTTACGCACTTGGCCCTGTTAGACGTTGGGTGGCGCCACCCGATGATGGAACCTCTGCATAACTCTCCAGGCCAGGCTTTTTGAATTATGGTCAGGTACCCTCAACCATTGATGCCTGGATCATACAAAGCGCACAGAGCTAACGCCGCACGATACACGTTCTGAAGCAGTTTGCTATCATACAGCCAAAATCACCACTTAGAAAGGTGTCTAGTGTCGGATCGCAGAAGTTACACAGCGTTGAGCTTGGTTCGCACTCGGGATGGGAGACCACCTTGGATATCAGGTGTTGCAGACTTAGACTGCGAGGTGGCCACACGACAGCACAGCAATATATTCTACCGCTATGGATTCCTTCCACACGCTACTCATTCACGGGAATGGCCAAAAATCCCAATGGCCAAACACTACCTAAAGAAGTTTTTTTTCTGGATGAAAAGGCATCAGTGCATTAAGTCAGAAAAACGACAGGTTTTTACAAAGTCTATGGCACCTTTTCTCTCATCCATGGATCATTATCTTTCGCAGTTCCTCCAGCATGTCGGCCACTTCTAAAACATGCAACCATTATTCCACACTCCCACTCCCTTGCCACATATACGTTATTTTTACTGCACATTCCTGTTTTGAGTTTTTGCATCTCTTAAAAATGAATTTCCTTTGTTTTTACTAAGACATACCCTCACATCTCCAGCGCTTCTCTATTAGCTGCCTGACAGTAAAAATATTTGGCTGTAACCCCTCCCATCATTAAAACGACAATGATTTACTTTAAAACACACACTTCTGCATGAAGCCTATCCAACAAAACTCCACTAAACCCCCCAAGCATGAATGGCAGATTATTGTACTGCGTTTTATGTGGATGTGTTGCATGTGAAGTGCTGATGAATGTGTACGACAAACAAACAATTAGCATTCATATCACACAAAAAATATTAAAAAAAAACTGAATTTTAGATTGCTTTTCGATGTGCTTCAAAAGGAATACAACAGGCGAACCCCATCCTGATTGATTTGCTGCCTCATGTGGTATCGATGTTTTTTCCAAAATTGTAAACATTAATGGGGTAAAAGTCCCGTACGAAAACAGTATTGCCGATAATCAGCGAGACCGTTAATGACATGCCTCTTGAACTTTACCCGAGGCAGGGATCGGCACTGAGGTGGGCCTTGCTCCACCAAATGTCCCCCTTTGGCCCACCCAAGGTCACTCGTCTTAGCTGTATATCATTGTTATATGGTGGCCCACCACGTAACAGCACTACTGGCCACTCCCCCGGTCCAAGAAGAGCTGGAGCCAGGATTGACCTTAGGTCAAAATTGTAAATGACCCTTCACCTCAATGAGATCACGTGGTAGCAAAGGTTATCATTTCATTGCAAGCATATATCGGAGGCCACACTGAAGCAATCACTTGCATCAATATTACATTTCAAGAAACATTTTGTTGCTTAAGAATTGCTTTATTTGTCAAATTGTAAATAACGACAAACACTTCTGTAAACGCGCTCTAGGTGTTATTTTTAAGAAGCTAAACAAATTTACAGGTCAAACAAGTTCACCACTCTTGACATATACATACAAAAGCTTCAGTATAAAAGACATACTAAACAATTCAAATACAACTTTTATTTGCATTTAATATTCTAGTTTGGCCATATTAATCAGTTAAAAAGTGCTAACCTGTAACTGGACATTTGTATGCTCTAAGCATCATATAAATTCAGCAGGAGATAACTACAGCGACGATTGTTATGTTTTGAACAAGAAATAAAAGCACGGCACTGTGTATCTCTGAAAACCTCCACGTCTGTGCGTGTATCTGTGTCACCCGGTGTGTATCTCCAAGTCTCTATATGTGCACGTTTCTATGTCTGTGTGTATGTCCGTGTCTTTCTACGTATTTCCGTGTGTGTATTATATCCATGTCTCCCTGTGTCCATTTCCATGCGTGTGTATCTCTGACTCGATGCATGTGTACCCATGTCTGTGAGCAGTAACGCCGTGTCTCCGTGTATATTACCACGTCTCTGCGTGAATCTCAGCGTCTATGTTCATATCTCTGTGCGAGTCTCCACGGGACCATTTCTCAAGGTTGCTTGGGAAAGGTTTCATGGACTGTTTTCAAATTCACAATTTCTGTGACCACCATAACCTCCGTAGGCGATGCTATAGCCTTAGCAATAAACAATTCAAAGGTAAAATATGACAGTTCAGATTGTGAGTTGGTGAGGAGCAGTGAGGCTGTAAGGACTCTGCCAAAAGATTCTGAAGTTTAAGCGACCCCTCTAAATGGGTGGCCGACGCACATACTGGAAGTCTGTGTATGGCCATAGCAAAGTTTCTACACTGGCATAGACAGAGTCATGTTCAACAGTTGGCACAAATGTGTGTGGGAAGGTAGTGATGGCACCGATTAGCCCAAGTGTGGTGAGCATCAGTAAAAAGGCAGGTACGATTACTCTAAAGATTTTGTTACATGGCTTTACGTCACGGATACCATCGTGGATCTGTGGACTGCACACAAGCAAACGCGCACACACCCAATGGTTACACAACATCCTGTCAACCACGCAGTGTGGATTTACAGCTTTTTAGGTAAAGTACTTTCATTATGTTAAAGCCAATCCAACCAAATAAATATTATCGTGAAATATTATCGTAACTTCATAGTTCTACCATCATTGCAAGATTAATTTAAAAACCACAAAATACGTTGACCTTTTTCCCAATTTATTCCAATTGAGTTGGACACAATTTCGCACCTCCGATTAGCACGGTTGGCTACATAAGGTGCGAAAGAAGTTCAACATACATACTGCACAGACTAACACTACCCATAGACCCAACACTGCACCTCCGATTACCACAGTTGGGTACATAGAGTGCAAAAGAAGTTCAACATACATACATTTCACGCGACAAGGAATCAATTTGGAACTCTCGCACAACAATGTGGGTGCAGAAGAGGTTTTTAAACAGGATTTCTTCTTTTAAAAAAAATCCTATTTATCCTTACACAAGAGGGTAACGTGTTCCTACACACTGTTACGAGATTTGTGTTTGTGGCAGGACAGTCAAACTTATGTTTTAAATCATTGAGATAAAATTTTGGCAAATTAAGTGCAAAACCAAATTTTTATATTTTTTGTGCTGTTTCTATCGCCATGTATCTCTTGAGCTGAGACCATTAAGATGCTACATGTGAGAACCCAGGTTTACTATCCGTGGCAGAAACCCGGATTTAAATCCAGCATCTCAATTATACCGTCTCAGTGCTCGGACCTCTGAGCAACCTGAAAATCTCAAGCCTAAACTTTTTAAGACAAAGTCTACGATTTAAAATTTGTCCAATAGATGGCATGCCACTACCATGAAGCCAAACATGGGTATGTCTTTCAGTAATACATCTGCATAAGTGTTTATTAAATACTGTAAAACGTTAATGCAAATTAAGGCACTAATAAATACGATGAGTAGGGACATGTAAAATGCATTGGGGGGCTATTGATAAATGAAATAAGCTTCATGTAGAAATAGGCTACTTAAACGCAATACCCAGTTCGAACAAAAAGGTTACATGGGTTGAAATTGATTAAATTACAGATGCTAAGACTGAGATTTTGACAGGTTACATTTACAGCCGAGGCTGTCTTCTTAGGTGCAGTGCATGCAGATATTTACCTGTGGAGTGGAGTTGAATATATGGACATATTATCAAGTGTCACATTTAGCACGCTGGGTAACTCCATCACATCGCAACTGCTGCCACTGCAGCTTGTGAAGTTGCTGGAGATATCCACAAGGAATGTAGAGTGCTCTGATGTGTCTGAAAAGAACAGAATTATATTTGTTTAGAGACATTTAAATTGGGTGACACAAAAGTATGCTAAGATATAAAAATTGCAAGCTGCAGTACATTGTAAACAAAGCAAGCAATACAGTTTATTCTTAATATTAACTAATGTTATTGTACCTTGCATAGGTCTTAACATAAAATGACAAGTCATTGAAATTAATGAAAACGAAATTTGTCACTGACAGGAAATGAAGGTTTTGAAAATGTGAGCATCTAGTCTTCTTCTGGCCAATAGTACAACAAAATGTATTATGTTTATTTTGTATTATTTTATTATTTCCCTTCTACGTGACTTTACCGAAAGAACCAAGAAGATGAATCCCTGCAGTCACGAAAGCTTTAAATCGAAATTTAATATTTGCATATTTAGAATAAAACATTCGATAAATTTAAGTGAATGCTTACTGCAAACATCATTACTAGGTTGGCTGTGTTAGTAGGGCACACACGTGATACCCAGTGATGCTCCTGCCACTCTCGCCAGCACAACTGTCTTGCCAGCTCATTCTACATGTGTTACGGGAGTGACAGGATGCGTGAGAGGGCAGACTCCCGTCGCAAATTCGGCCCCCATATCGCTCTAGTTCACAGTGCCACTAACACCACCTGCTGTACAAAGAGGAATTAGGTTCAGATTTTACTGGTAGGAACCTCCTGGTTACACCAGCCCACAGGGGATTATTGTGTCCGTCCGTCGTGAAGGGAGGGGCTGGGTGGGGAGGGTGGGGAGAGGCTGGGTGGGGAGGGTGGGGAGGGGCTGGGTGGGGAGGGTGGGGAGGGGCTGGGTGGGGAGGGTGGGGGGTGGGAGGGGAGGGGCTGGTCACCCCGTGGTGCCCTTATAAAACTCAACATTTAACCGACTCACGCCGGCTTGTGCCCGCCCTCACAGTCGGCCATATTTGCGGAATACACCACGCCGCCGTTGACCCTGGCCATTGACCGAGCAACCCAACGTTCCTACCAGCTCGCTCCGCAAGAATGTGTTCTTTGATTTCAATTTACA